TTGTTGGAAATGGAAGGGAAACGTCTGATCTCTTTGGAGAGCTTGAGTCCCGAGCCTTGTGCACACGATCTATTTCCCCTTTTAATTTAAGAAGAGAATTGCACTGGCTTGATCGGAGATGTTTGCTTCCGCTTTCCAGGGCTTGGGCAATTCAGGTTCTCCACCCGAGGCAAGGGCTGAGAATTCTGCTGCAGCTCCCGCTCCTTGGAAGCTGGGAGTGCAAATATGTGCAAGGAGAACTGCCTTTCAACTTAAGGGGATGCGGCTCAAGCAGCAGCTTCTGCGCCTGGGGATTTGTGCTTCGAGGTGGATGAGTGGCTGAGGGGGCCAGCTTTGGCCCACCGTTGTTAAGTGCGTTACTAATTCATTCTTAAGGCTCCCGGCCCTTCTGTGCTGGAGGCGCTGTGCCATTAACAAGGGTTCTCCCAAGACAGTGTGAAGCAATTAGAATTTCGTAGGCATCGCTGTTTGCAAGCAGCTACCTAAATGAAAAGTCAGACCTCGGGCCGGCTGAAGACGAGGAAGGAGGAGAACTGGAGGGAAAGGCTGAAGGTGGCCATCGGTTTGACCAGACCAGAACAAAGGCGTCGTTAAGATGGATCTTCACCAGTTGGCCTATGGCAGAGGCTGAGTGGCAGTCTCCTCGCCCCCTCAGTGGCAGGGCAGGAGCTATACAGCAGGCAGGAGTTCAACAGGGGCAGCTTTTCGGGCATGGAGATGCTGCAGTGAGCATGCGGCAGCGGTGGCGGCGACAGCATTTTCCTTCCCGTCAGAACTTTGGCGCCTCCGATGGAAGGTAGTGGTGGCCCAGATCCTGCACACCTCTGCATGTGCTGGCAGGACACTGAGCCCCTTGCTTGGGAGGATGCAGAGGGCTTGATAAGAGAAGGCCTCACCTCCTGCCGGTCACCTGCATCGTGATGTGCAGCCCCAGCGCAGGCCAACTTGCCACAGCAGCCTCGAGGTTTCATGGACCACATGTTTTGTTTGCCTGCTCGTCCATTGTTCTCTCTCTCGCATGCCTGCTCGCTGGCATGATGTCTCTGTCGTCTCTGTCTCTCCCTCTCCCTCTCCCTCTCTCTCTCTCACAGACACACACACACACACACACACACACGGAGGGAGGGAGGGAGGCAATTACTGTGTAAGGTTGAGTCCATTTGTAAGAGCTGCCGCAATTTAAGATTTGCAGCGCAACGCAGCAAATTAATAGCCTGAGGGCACATGTAAGGTGTTTTTCTTCCTGTTCATTGAACAGGCTGCATTTCTACTTCTTTCGGCATTTTAGTCATGCGTGACATGACCCATGGTCCTGACAGGAGAGTTTGCGTTACATATATAGAGACAGCTCTAGGAGATCTGATCTTGAAATCTGAGGACTGAACTGAAGTAAAGTTACAGTCCTGTGAAGTGTTTCCAAATTTCCAGTGATAGGGCCGGGAAGGGGGGCGGATCTATTTTAGAGCAGACCCCACAAGCCACATGACACCTGAGCTCGGCTGGGGAGTCGCTGCTGTTCTCAGGCCAGGTGCTGTCTTTTGGCCCAAGGTGCGTTGCCTCCCTTCCTTTCTGTCAAGGACTTCAGAGCCGTCAAGAGCTGCGCAGCAAACAAGGCATTGGGTAGCTTTCCCAGTCTTGCCGGGGTTCAGCTCATATAGTCCATTTGCAAAGACGTGCTGTTGAATTCCTCTTTGCCACACTGTTGGAGAGGGAAAAAGATCTGCAGTATTAAAAAGCAGGAAACACTCCTTGGTCTGTTTCCCACTTAAAAAAAAAGAGCAAGCTAGCTATTGTCTTTTAGGGCTACAAAGAGTAGGACTTCCTCAGACCAGTTGAAGGCCTTTTGTCCTTTTAGAAACTAGATACCCTCAAGCAGAGTTGGTCTTTGTTGTTGTTAGTCACAAAGTCGTGTCCGACCCATCGTGACCCCATGGACAACATTCCTCCAGGCCTTCCTGTCCTCCACCATCCCCTGGAGTCCACTCAAGCTCACACCGACTGCTTCAGTGACTCCATCCAGCCACCTCATCCTCCGCCGTCCCCTCCTTCTTTTGCCGTCAATTGTTCCCAGCATCAGGCTCTTCTCCAGGGAGTCCTTTCTTCTCATTAGGTGGTCAAAGTATTTGAGCTTCATCTTCAGGATCTGGCCTTCTAAAGAGCAGTCAGGGTCGATCTCCTCTAGGACTGACCAGTTTGGTCGCCTTGCGGTCCAAGGGACTTGCAGGAGTCTCCTCCAGCACCACAGTTCAGAGGCCTCAATCCTTTTGCGCTCAGCCTTCCTTATGGTCCAGCTTTCACAGCCATACATTGCAACTGGGAAAACCATCGCCTTGACTAGACGCACTTTTGTTGGCAGGGTGATGTCTCTGCTTTTTACTATGCTGTCTAGATTTGCCATAGCTTTCCTCCCCAGGAGCAAGCATCTTTTAATTTCTTGGCTGCAGCCCCCGTCTGCGGTGATCTTGGAGCCCAGGAAAATAAAATCTGTCACTACCTCCATTTCTTCCCCATCTCTTTGCCAGGAAGTGAGAGGACCGGATGCCATGATCTTAGTTTTCTTAATGCTGAGTTCCAAGCCAACTTTTGTGCCCTCCTCCTTCACCCGCATCAAGAGGCTCTTTAGTTCCTCTTCACTTTCTGCCAGTAGAGTGGTATCATCTGCATATCTGAGGTTGTTGATATTTCTCCCAGCAATTTTAATTCCAACTGGTTATTCATCTAGCCCCGCCTTTCTCATGATGTGCTCTGCATATAAGTTAAATAGGTAGGGCGACAGTATACAGCCTTGCCGAACTCCTTTCTCAATTTTGAACCAATCAGTGGTTCCGTGTCCAGTTCTCACTGTTGCTTCTTGACCCACATATAGGTTTCTCAAGAGACAAATAAGATGGTCTGGTACTCCCACCTCTTTAAGAATTTGCCACAGTGTGTTGTGATCCACACAATCAAAGGCTTTAGCATAGTCAATGAAGCAGAAGTAGATGTTTTTCTGGAACTCCCTCGCTTTCTCCATGATACAGTGTATGTTGGCAACTTGATCTCTAGTTCCTCTGCCTCTTCGGAATCCTGCCTGTACTTCTGGTAGTTCTCAGTCCACGTACTGCTGGAGCCTAGCTTGTAGGATTTTGAGCATAACTTTGCTAGCATGTGAAATGAGTGCAATGGTGCGGTAGTTTGAACATTCTTTGGCATTGCCCTTCTTTGGGATGGGAATGTAAACTGACCTTTTCCAATCCTGTGGCCACTGCTGAGTTTTCCAAATTTGCTGGCATATTGAGTGTAGCACTTTAACTGCATCATCTTTTAGGATTTTGAATAGCTCAGCTGGAATACTGTCGCCTCCACTAGCTTTGTCGTTGCTCAGACTTCCCAAGGCCCATTTGACTTCACATTCCAGGATGTCTGGCTCGAGGTCAGTGACCACCCCATCGTGGTTATCAGGGACGTTAAGCTCTTTCTTGTATAGTTCCTCTGTGTATTCTTGCCATCTCTTCTTAATCTCTTCTGCCTCTGTTAGGTCCCTGCCATTTTGGTCCTTTATCATGCCCATCTTTGCATGAAACATTCCCTTCAGATCTCCAGTTTTCTTGAAGAGATCTCTGGTCCTCCCTATTCTATTGTTTTCTTCTATTTCTTTGCACTGTTCATTTAAGAAGGCATTCTTATCTCTTCTAGCTATTCTCTGGAATTCTGCATTCAATTGTTTGTATCTTTCTCTTTCTCCCTTGCCTTTCGCTTCCCTTCTTTCCTCAGCTATTTGTAAAGCTTCCTCAGACAGCCATTTTGCTTTCTTGCATTTCTTTTTCTTTGGGATGGTTTTAGTTGCTGCCTCTTGTACAATGTTGCGAACCTCCGTCCATAGTTCTTCAGGCACCCTGTCTATCAGATCTAATTCCTTAAATCTATTTGTCACCTCTACTGTATATTCATCAGGGATATGATTTAGGTCATACCTGCGTGGCTTAGTGCTTTTCCCTACTTTCTTCAATTTAAGCCTAAATTTTGCAGCAAGAAGCTCATGATCTGAGCCACAGTCAGCTCCTGGTCTAGTTTTTACTGACTGTACAGAGCTTCTCCATCTTTGGCTGCAGAGCACATAGTCAATCTGATTTTTGTGTTGACCGTCTGGTGATGTCCATGTGTAGAGTCGTCTCTTGGGTGGTTGGAAAAGAGTGTTTGCTATGACCATCTTATTCTCTTGACAAAATTCTTCGAGCCTGTGCCCTGCTTCATTTTGTACTCCAAGGCCAACTGACCTGTTACTCCAGTTATCTTTTGGCTTCCCACTTTAGCATTCCTATCCCCCATGATGATAAGGACATCATTTTTTGGTGTTAATTCTAGAAAGTGTTGTAGGCCGTCGTAGAATTGATCAACTTCAGCCTCTTCAGCACCGAGCAGTTTGCTGTGGGATGGAGGGAACCGTGATCGCCTTTCAAGATCGGCCTCCCATGTACTGCTTTGAAAGGCGGAACTACAAATGCTGCTTGAAAATTTGGCAGCCCTGCTTTTTAATATTTAACAATATTGTCATGCCCGTTGTGCCAGAAGGTACTCTGGCAAAGCTGAAAAGTGGAGAAGAGGTGCGGAGTCCTGCACTGAGCGGACGGCTGAAGCCAGCGGCTCACTAGGCCCCTTCCAGCTGCATGATTCTGCGATCTTCTTTCCATGAAATGACTGTGCCAACACTTTGCTGACTCTCATTGAATCCACTGGCCCATGATAACACCTGTTCTCCCATGGCGTTCTTTGGTAATTAGGATTTTGATGAGAAAGGGCAGTGCTGTGGATCGGCTTCAGATTATATGCTGGTTGTGAGGAAAGCTGTCTCCAACTCCTTCCTCCTTAATTCCCACTTCCAGGTGCGTGCTTTAAAATGAGCGGTGAGGGGGTTGGTGGTGGTCTTAGCACCCCTGTTGTGCCTCAGGTGCTTTTTCAGGGTGGCTGCTTTTTATCTGAAGGGAAGGTTTTAATCATTGCGTCGGGTGTTTCTCTTGCAGGAAAGGTGGTTTGTTACTGAAAACAATGTGGATGCGTTTCTTTTGAGAACGTCCTGCTCCATCCAGCCTGAGATGGAATGCCAGCCATTACTCGAAGTGTTGGACGTCTCGGAGGGCAAAAGCCAGATCAGATTAAAGGTAAAGTGTTGCCTTAACACGCATGTGTAGCACTGGAGTAACCATTCACCCTGGTGGCTGCCTCCAGTCCACTCTCCTAGCAGCTGCTGTTTGTACGGCTGCTCCTGCAAGGCTGGTCCCTGTAGGAGAGCTGCGTATCGATGGAGAGAACTGCTAACAGAGGCATATTAAATCAAACAGCAAGCACGGCTACTGCCTGCCTTCCCCCTTCTCTCTCTCGGCTGCATTAAGCTCTGCTCCCTCCAACATCCAAGGGTATTCTGCTTTTCAGCAGGTTAGTTATACATCTGTAAAATCTCACATTGGGACAGAACTTGGCTGACAGAGTTCAGGATAAGAAGCATCGAGATTAAACAACACAGAAATACACTTTGCTTAGACCTGGGAGAATGTTTTTTAAGTGCCTGTGTATTCACCCTGGATGCATATTGGGATCTGAAGTGCACATTTAGAGGCAGCATTTTTCTGATTTTTTGAGCCCCCTTGTTGAGCATAAAGACAGAAAGGGCGTCCTGCACGATGCTTGCAAGGAGTAAAAGCCTGAAACTGAGTTATCAGCAGGGGCAGCGAAACAACAGTGGGACTGATACCTCATTTTTCAGTCCCCCGTCCAGAGAGAGAGAATTCAGTGCAACATCTGCTCTGCACCTGTGGGATGTTGGCCCTGTCTGGGGGGCGCTACAGCCTGTGACACTGCTTCTGAGCCAGAGGGAGAGCCAACAGTCAGGTGCAACCATGAGAAGCCAGGCCCTTGAGAAGTCAGTCCTGCCAGGCTTTTGTGGGCTGACAGGCTGGGACTGGGAGGTGCGGGGCACTGATCTGGCCCACCTTCCGCAGGTGGGAGAGCTGACCTTGATGGAGGCTCCCACTCTCTGACCAGGGATATGCTCCACGTGGGAGGGGCGGCAGAAGGAAGGCTCTGGGGGAGAGGGTGCCCTTGGGCGTGCTGGGTGAAGAGCAGCACCCGGGAGCCCGGCTGCCATGCCTGCGCCGGAGCGACTGCTCCCGTGTCTACGTGGGTCGGCTGGCAGTGGACTGTGCTGGCCTCCTCAGGCTTCCCGCCTTCTCTGGAACGGTGAACTCATTGCGACTTTGCGTGGGTCTTCTGTCGTGATCAGAGCTCACGCACTGGTTTTGGCCAGGGAAGTCCGGTTATGACAGCACCCCTGCAGCTCTTTGGAGTGGGGGGGCTGGATCCCCGTCTTCCAGCCTTGCTGAGAGGGCCAAGCTTTTGAAGCCAAGCCCATTTTGTTCCAATTCTAGAGGTGTTTTTAAAAATACATACAGAAATGTGTACATTTTGGTGTGCGTGTTTAATGATCTGTGCATTTTGTGTACATATTTGCACGCACACATATACATGGATGTAGTGCAGTTCTGTGCCTACTTTTCTACAATAGACACATTCCGTGTGCACTTTTCCGTAATACGCACATCTTTTGTGTGAACTTTTCCCAAGACAGATTGCATTGAAAAGCTTGAAAAAAATATGGATTTATTTATTTATTATTTATTTATTTATTAAAACATTTTTATGCCGCCCCATTCGCCGAAGCCTCGGGGCGGCTCACAACAAAAAGATTAAAATAACATTTTAAAATATATACAATAAAATACAAATATATAATATAAAACATACACTATAAAACAAGCCGCCCTGGCCAAATAAAATTCAATAATATTAACATTTAAAATACTGCTTAAATAAAAAGGTCTTCGCCTGGCACCGAAAAACAAATAACGACGGCGCCAGGCGGACCTCTCTGGGGAGCGCATTCCATAACTTAGGCGCCACCGCTGAGAAAGCCCTCCTCCGAGTAACCACCCTCCTAACTTCTTCCATGGAGGGCTCCCGGAGAAGGGCCTCTCCCGCCGATCTCAGGGGGCGGCTGGGCATATAAGGATGTAAGCGCTCCTTCAGGTAACCAGGACCCAAGCCGTTTAGGGCTTTATAGGTCATTACCAACACCTTGAATTGGGCCCGGACTTCAATGGGAAGCCAGTGAAGCTGACGGAGAACTGGAGTCATGTGAACATAACGTCCAGTCCCCGTCAGCAGCCTGGCAGCTCTATTTTGGACCAATTGAAGTATCCGGACCGTCTTCAAGGGTAGCCCCACGTAGAGCGCGTTACAGAAGTCCAGACGGGAAGTCACCAACACATGTGTCACTGTCGCAAGGCAGTCATTCTCCAGATAGGGGCGCAGCTGATGAATTAGCCGAAGCTGGAGGAAAGCGCTCCTCGCCACTGCTGTTACCTGAGCTTCCAGTGAAAGCTCTGGGTCGAGGAGCACTCCCAAGCTGCGAACCTTGTCCCTAAGAGGGAGTGCAACCCCATTCAGGACAAGGTTCAATTCACCCTCTCCGAAGCTCGATCCACCAACCAACAGGACCTCCGTCTTGTCTGGATTGAGCTTCAGTTTATTGGCCCTCATCCAGCCCATTACCTCGGCCAGGCACCGGTTCAGCACAGCCACTGCCTCACCTGGATTGGTGGAAAACGAGAGGTAGAGCTGGGTATCATCAGCGTACTGATGGTTCCGCAGCCCACACCTCCTGATGACCTCTCCCAGCGGTTTCATGTATATGTTGAACAGCAAAGGGGACAAAATGGACCCCTGCGGTACTCCATGGCATAGCTGCCATGGCGCAGAGCCATAGTCCCCCAGCACCACCTTCTGGAACCGGCCATTGAGATAGGAGCGGAACCACTGCAAAGCAGTGCCTCCAACCCCCAATCCCGCAAGCCTATCCAGAAGGATACCATGGTCGATGGTATCGAAAGCCGCTGAGAGGTCCAGCAGAACCAACAGGGACGCACTCCCCCTGTCCTTCTCCCTGCACAGGTCATCATACAGGGCGACCAAGGCAGATTCAGTACCATACCCGGGTCTGAAGCCGGACTGCAATGGGTCCAGATAATCAGTTTCATCCAAGAGTGCTTGGAGTTGTCCCGCCACCACTCGTTCTAACACCTTGCCCAGAAACGGGATGTTGGCCACTGGTCTATAATTAGTGGCCATCTCTGGATCCAGTGACGCCTTCTTCAGGACCGGTCGGACTACCGCCTCCTTCAAAGGGGCAGGCACCCGACCCTCCCTCAGAGAAGCGTTAACCACTTCCAAGATCCAGGTTCCAATCCCATGCTTGGAATCATTTATTAACCAAGACGGGCAAGGGTCCAAAAGGCAAGTGGTTGGACGTACTCGCCCAAGCACCTTGTCCACATCATCGGGCCGCAGTAACTGAAATTCATCCAATAAATCTGGACCAGACGGCAGCGTTGGTGTCTCCTTTGAAACCTCTGAATCAATAGTGGTGTCCAGCTCGTGACGAATCTGAGCGATTTTCTCCCTGAAATGCCTGGCAAAGTCGTCACAGCGGGCCTTTGAGGGTGGAATCAGGTCTTCCTTTGGACCTGGACGGACCAGGCCTTGCACCACTCGAAAGAGCTCCGCTGGACGGCATTGTGAGGAGGCAATGGAAGCGGAAAAGAATCTCTTTTTTGCCGCCCTCACCGCCACAGCATAGGCCCGATAGTGGGCTCTTAAGTGTGTTCGGTCAGATTCATCTCGTGATTTCCTCCACCTACGCTCTAGTCGTCTCCCAACCTGCTTCATCGCCCTCAATTCAGGAGTATACCAAGGGGAAGAGCGGGCTCTGCCCGGTGGGAGAGGACGCTTAGGAGCGATCGTGTCTACAGCCCTGGTCATCTCCCCATTCCACAGTTCGACCAGAGCCTCGACAGGAGCACCCGTCTTGTCAGCCGGAAACTCCCCCAGGGCCTTCAGGAATCCTTCTGGATCCATCCGGCTCCGGGGGCGGACCCACATAATCGGGTCCGCACCCTTACAGAGGGAGAAGTCGCTCTCGAGCATAAACCTCACCAGGAAGTGATCTGACCATGACAGGGGAGTCAAGCATAAGTTACTCACCCTCAGACCACCCTCTTCCTGTCCTGTCGAGAAAACCAGGTCCAGAGTGTGTCCCCGTTCATGGGTGGGGCCGGTGACATGTTGAGACAGCCCCATGGCCGTCATGGAGGCCATGAAGTCCTGAGCCGCCCCGGTCAGACTAGCCTCGGCATGGAGATTGAAGTCCCCCAGGACCAACATCCTGGGGGTCCTCAACACCAGGTCCGAGACAGTCTCCGTCAGCTCAGGCAGGGAGACTGTTGGGCAGAAGGGTGCACGGTACACCAACAGAATCCCCAATCTGTCTCGGTCGCCCAACACCAAGTAGAGACACTCCAGCCCTGGATTGTGGAACACAACTCTGTCTTGACGCTTTGAAAGGCACAGGAGGGACAAAATGGGTAAATCCAATTTAAAAAAACCACTTGACAACTAATTTCTCACCCAGCCTGTGCTGTGAAACAGCCTGCTCCATTTCCTGGACCTGACAGGGCAGGTTCTGTTTCTGGGCATGTACAAACTGCATAGCTTCTCGGGCTTTCACTTTGGATCTTGCTTCCAACTTGCAGCAGGGACAACATTACAACAACTTCATGATTTTTTTTTGAAAATAAAAGTATATAAACCCAGTGAGCACTAGTGACTCTGAATGACAGAAGTATCATGAATCTCCACTGCTGTTAACCCCGAGCATCAAGCAATGAACGCTCAGAGCCACCGTTTGGACTTTGCTTTTTGGCTGAACTGGGTGGGGGCTGGGCACTCCGTTCAATTACTTGAATTCAAGGAGGACTGTCCACGTAACACAGACATGCGTATTTGGAGCCCAGCCCTGCTTTCGGACCTGCTCCAGTTTACCGGAATATCTGAATATTTAGTTTGCAAATTCCACCGGTGAGTGCACGACGCACAGGACGAGCGGCCAGCCCCACTCGGTCAGAGCCCAGTTCCTTGGCGGAGCGCATGCAATGCGCAGCTGTCCCTGAGCCCTGGGAGGCGAGGGCGCTTTGCATATCCCAGTGTCAGTTCTCCTTGCGCAAGCACACAGCCGGCGCCCGGCAGTCCTGAAGCTGCCTCACCTCTGGACACCTCCTGGCAGCGACGCAGGGCAGGTTCTGCTGTGGGTTTTTGAAATCCTCCCACTCTTGTTGACAGGAAGCGGAGCGGCGAGGCACAGTTGCGCACGGGCGACCTGTTTGGGAGGAAGCCCGGGAGGTTCCTGTTTGGTGCTGACCTTTGTATACAACAGTAACAGTCCCCACCCTTTCTCTTAGCAGGCGCAGGAGCAGAAGAGCTGCGAGCCTGGCGAAACAGAAGGAAGAGTTAATCTTAGGAGAGAGGATGGTGGACAAGAACACGAGGAAGAGGCAGAAGAGGGCCCCATATGTGTGGAAGGCATTTCAGGTTCTCTTGCAGCCTCGGAAACCACGGGGCACGCTGGCAGGGGATCAGGGCATTGTTCGGTGCTTGACCCTCCTGATCCCAGCTTGGCAGCTCCAGAGAAATCACCGATAAGTGGGCTGCATGCGTCACCACGGGGTTTCACAACGGGCAACGCGGCCACGTCTGCGCCTGGAGCTCCCCTTAAGCAGGGCAGGCCTGCCCAGACCGGGGAGAAAGCAGATGCAGATGCAGAGTTGGCACATTCTGAGCAAGGACTGGAGCAAAAGCCAGCCCCGGTCACCACTCCCCCCGTGTTAAAGGAAACCAACATGAAAGATGGAAGTGTGCAGTACATTACTCAACACTCAACTCGCTCTGCTGTCACGCTTCAGAATGCTTTGTTGTACGAACTAGACTGATTGGGCTGTGTTAAGCACCTACCTGGGCTCAGCAGCCACACCCACCTCAAGTTTGGATCGCTTCCTCTGTAAAAAGTAAAGGAATTGAAGACCTCTGCAGAAATTCAACCAAAAGAAAAGGTTGAATTTTCTTCTGGGGGAAAACCAAAGAAAAGGTTCCATTGCATCAAAATATTCACTACTGTTTTGGAGATGTCAAACATTTAGAGGTGCCTTTGTTGAGTTTGTTTTTAAATAGGCAACTCATTAATGTGGAGCAGATTTTTCACAGGTGCAAAATACAATTCAGCTGGGAAGCCAAGAGAACGAAAGGGCCACATTTGGACGATCCTACTTCAGCCTATAAAGCCAACAGTTCGCCTGCACATTTAGCTTGCTTGTGTGAACCGTGCTAAACCAGGGAAGACAGACCGTGCCCTTTCGAAGGCCATGCCTACATCTGCAAGGCTGAAGTGGCTGATGTTTTGTTTCACCTTTATTTCAGTTACCTTTCCCTCCCCTTTTTCTAGTTCTTCTCAGTTGAAAGGCAAACTGCATCCCATTATATTTATTAAGCATATTTGAAAGTCACACCACGTTTCATTGAGTGCTGCCCAAGCTTGTTTCAGGTGTGTTCGTAAGGCCTGGTCCTTTAGGAACCCAATTCATACTTCTGCGGTATCACGCTCTTGAGCAAAAGAAAAAATTTACCAACACCAACCTATGTAAAACAGTTTATGTACTTCCATCCTGCATGGTAATTGATTTGTGTGCTATTATTATTATTGATTTGTGTACTATTATTATTATTGTCTTACATCTTGCCTATTCCCAGAGATAAGGATTGTGTTAACAGTCCTTAATAAAATTCCTGAACCCTTATGCGAAACCCATGCTTCGGGATTCACCTTTGGAGTGTAATCCCCTTGCCCATTGTCCTATTAATTTTTTGATGCTCAGAGTAACCATACATGCTGTGAGATCACCCAGTGCAAGACACTGGGTATATATTGGGCTCTCCAAGAAAGATTACCGTCTGAACCCAGTTTGAATCCCACCCCTGCAAATTATGGTAATTAATTTAAAAACATTTGATGCGACAGTGCAGCATCAGAACTGGGCTACAGCCTTAATGGAGAAACATCTTTCTAGTCTCCAGTTTCTCTGGCTTGCTAAGTCAAGCAAGCCAATTTTCACATTTCAAAGCAACTTCTGCTTAAATTGCTGAGTGGAGCTGGCTGTCCCGAGCGCTTTGGGATTGCTTGCAGCCTGCAAGGAAACATGGACGATTCTTTCGCCTCAGCAGTGCCTAGATGCGGCCTGATTGTACCTGTTTCCTCAAAGCAGCCCCAGTGAGTTCTACAAAATGGTCAAGATTGCTTTAAAACACTAGACTCCACTTCTTGATTTATTAAATTAAGATGACAAATCAACATTGGTATGTTCAAGGTTGCAACAGTGGAAAGAGCCGTAAGAAAAAAAAGCGTGTGAGCCAAAAGGCAAAATCCCGAAATGAGTTTTGCTGCTAGTTCTGCTTACCAGCTGGACTCAGCGTTGCTTGAAGCAGAAGTCAGCAAGTCTCACTATCAGACAATCCTGTCAAATCTTGCAGATTATTTTTCTGAAAAGGCACCAAAATGCACTAGCGGCATTTTACTTCTTCCAGTCTTTTGTTCCTTTGCTGGAGGATGGACTAGATCTCATTTCCAGGTTATTTTCCAGTAGCAATAAAGAGGCATAATTCACTGGGAAGTTCTTTTGCATAACCAATTTTCGCTTCAGCAAGGTCATGCAGGAGATCTTCTCGAACTGAGTAAACCAGTAAATTGTTTCTGTACAATCCTACCAGGCAGACTATTTCAGGGATACCGAGCCTCTAACGGGGATGTAGAATTGGCTTACAATTAAAGTTTCTCATCCCCAAATATTGCTGCTTTGCAATGTTTTGGTTTTTTAGCATTCCAGTTCTGTAGTTTCCTCATACCGCCCTGTTCTCAATTGTTCATTAAACCGAGTTGTCAATTCTGAAAGCTGGATTATTTCAGTCACAGGAGGTTATAGCTGCAGTTGTTTTCAGTTCAGTTCTTGAAACACTTGGTCATCTCTTAATGAACCTTACTCTGTATCGTTACCCTGTACTGTAATTTCTAACCCTTTTCTAACTGTTAAAAATCTATACCATTACAGTTCTAATAAAACTTGATTCTTCCAAATCACTGTAAGACTTGTATTACAAAAACATGAATTTTTATTTGGCAGAACTAAAAAAGTTGCATATTTCTACATGAAAGTGAAAAGAAACGAACTTCTAATTCTTTTATATAGTAAGCACATAGCGAATAAAATAGAATGCTTTTGTAGATATTAAGGTAACAAATTTCAAGCAAGCCTGTACAAGATTATGGAACACTGAATGACTGCAGGTTCTTATTGTTAAGATAAACAGGGACAGGGAAAGGCTAGCCTTTGAAAAACGGGGGGATGGGGGGGGGGAGAAAGGGACCCCAGCCATTTTGGAACACACACCCTCCAGCATTTTATTTTGACACCTTCACTTAAAAAAAGTGGATTCAAGGTGGACTTAGTGTTGGGAAAACCTTATAAAAAGGCCTAGGTAAAAATCATCAGTGACTTTCCCAGTAAACAAGTAGTATTTCGCTTTCTTTTCAGCATTCCTCCACATAACCTTTTCTGCCGCAAAAATATCACTGCCAAAGGACAACTCTTGCGATAACCACGGTCCATATTAAAGCAGAAACCAAATGGACACGTTTCTTTTTCCGTGTATGCCTCTGCCTTTAATAGGGTAGACAGGCCCACACAAGAAAGAGTAAGGCTCAGGATGTTCTCTCACTGCAATCCTCGATAACTCTTGCAGAGTTCATGGTCCCGAATATCACCCCAGCCCCCATTTTTGACGTGGGGGCTGAGGGGAGCCACCGAGTACCTCTTGCTGATCGTCATGCTTTCGGGAAACAGGTGCTGCTGGTTGCTGCTCAAGAGCGAGTCAATTTTGGCACTCTGGGCAGAGGGCTGGCAAGACTTCTTGTGGTGCATGCCACAGTCACCGGTGTGGAAGACCCGAGGGATTTCGGGGACCAGCACCTTCCAGAACCGGGGCAGGCAGGCGACGGTCAGGTGCTGCAGAGTCCAGTCCCAGTTGTAGTCGTCGTAGGTGCAAAAGGCATCGGTGCAGGCGATGAGCTGCCGGTAGGTGTCCCGGGCAAAGGCCATGCCCATGTTGTGCTCCGTGGACTTCCACGTCTTGAGCTCCACCTTGTCGGCCCGGCCGGCCATGCCGCCGCGCACGGGCGCGTAGCCGCCCAGCGAGAGCACCTGGCACTCGGGGCAGTCGCGCTGGCGCAGGGCCCACAGGTGCTGCAGCACGCGGAGGAAGTCGGGCGCCAGGTAGTGGTCCTCCTCCAGGAAGAGCACCAGCCCCGGGTGCTCGCGCAGCGCGCGCACCCGCTCCCACACGAAGTGCAGCTTCCACCACCAGTGGTGCTTGGTCTGCGCGAAGGCGGCCTCGCGGTAGTGGCCGAAGGCGTCCGGGTACTGCGCGTTCAGGCAGCCGAGGCGCCGCGCCGCCGCCGGGCCCACGTCGCGCGGGCAGTCGCGCGGGTCCGTGCCCGGGAACTCGCCCGGGTACAGCTGCAGGCTGAACGGGAAGAAGACCTGCAGCACGGCGCAGAAGTCCACGGAGGCGGCCAGCGCGTTCAGCTCGGCCGACCACACGTCGTGGCTCAGCACCAGCAGCACCTTCTCGGCGCCGGGCGCGCGCCGCAGCGAGGCCAGCAGCAGCCGGAGGTGCTCGGCGCGCTCGTGCACTTGCACCACCAGCGCCACCGCCGCCTCGCCCGGCCGCCAGCGCGCCTCGCGCCGCACCGGCTGGTCGAAGTTGAGCCGGTACACCAGCGCGCGCAGCTGCAGCGTCCGGTTCGCCGCCGCCGCCTCCTCGCGCGCCGGGCCGGGCCACGAGGAGTTGGCCGGGCGCCCGCGCCCGGGCAGGCTGCTGCCGGCGCCGGCGCTGGCCACGGCCGGCGGCAGCGGCTGGTCCCCC